GCGAGAGTGCGCATGTGCGCGGCCCGCTGCTGCACGTCACGGGGGGTGGGTGAGGGAGGGGCGTGAGGGGCAGAGCCGAGCGGCCAGGGACTGCCGAGCTGCGGGCGATGCATCCTGCCTGCTGGAAGGTGCGGGAAGTCTGCTGTCTCGGCTTTTGTAAACGTAAGCTCTGCGGTTGTTTGTCTCTGGAATCCATTGTCCCTTAAAAAGCACTGTTTATCTCAGCAGTCTTCAAGGTCCCAGCCCACGAGGCTCATTTAAGTCAGGTTATTGCTTACCCGTGGGCTGCAGTGGGGTGGTGGTGCGGGAATGTTCCTTCACCTTGGCTGTACACTAAGATAACTTGGGAGGCTTCTAAGAGCACGTCGCCCCCACCAAACCCCCAGGATAAGCGCAGAGAATCTCTAGGTGGGGCCCAGGTCCAGGTATGAAGATTTCCCTAAGCTTTCCCAGAGCAAAGCAGTGCTTCTCCAGCAAGGGAGATTGACTGGGAGAGACAGAGAGATGGGGGAGAGAGAGAGAGAGAGAGAGGAAGGGAGGGAGGGAGGGAGAGAAACAAAAAACCAGAGCAAATCCCCAGGTCCTATCCGCAGTGGTTATGGTTCAACTCCTGAGCAAATGTGGAGCCCTGGGATCCGATGTAAAACACTTTCCAGATAACAGAGAGGTTTTGGTTTCAAGTTATTACACCAGTAGCCTGGAGTCAGAGAAGACTTGTTACAAAGAGCCAAGCCAGGTGTGGAACTCAGGACGTCTCATTCCAGTACCTTCTACACAACTGTGTTCTGTCTGAATGCCCAGTTTTTCTATAAGAATTGCTCGGCTTTCCTTAGCAGAAAAGAAAGGTACACATTATATTGAACATGTGCATGTACACTCTACTGAACATTTGTTATATATCGTTTTAAAATATTGGCTGGGAAGAAGGCTCGTGATAAGGAGCAGGGAGCAGGGTGACAGAGTAAGGGATGAAAGTGTGTGCAGAACAGGGTGTAGGAGGAAACAAACCTTGCACTCAACCTTGAGCTTGCAAAGGTGCTTTAGGGACACGAACCAGGTTCAGGCTTTGCTTCCTGCTTCAGAACATGAAATTCGGGTGTTAAAAAGCATATGAAATTATGGATTTCACCGTGTTGCTTTGCTGAATTTCATAGTTGCCTCTTAAATTAGATTTAAAAGGTAGTGTTCCCATTTTACAACATTATAGGGACACGTTGGATCTTTTAATTATTTGGATTTAGATCCATTAATTTGATTGTTCTAGTAGACGCCTGGATTTGAGTGTACAATGTGGCTACTGTAACTAAGGAAAACAATCCTGATCTTACAAGGAAAGTGGTGTCTGTATTTATTTTAGGTTATGATGTCTTTATTCAGATTTTTAAAGTCTTTATCTAAATTCAGGCTTTCATTTTTGTGGAATGGAAATGCAGTTTGTATCTTCATCCAATTTTGCACCTCCATATACTCTACTAGGATTGTAAAGTCATTCTAAGGGCATATTAGCCCCAGGGCATTGCAGTGACATTTGTAGGCCTTACAAAAGAGCTTGAAGGGCAACACCAGCATTTTCTGGTAACAAGTGTAATTGTCATCCTAATTTTACCCAGGCCAGAAACCACGTGGTCTAGCCAGAATCACTAATACCAGCAGGGCCAGTCTCAGACTCTCCCTTTCCTCTTTTCTCTTCACCAAGTCATAAACTGAAGATAATTTTTCATTTCCAAATTGTTAACACCAACATTTGCCGTCAGTAAATTAGAACCAAATTGTATCTTGAAGCCAGTACTTGTGGTGAAGGTAAATCCTGTGAATTGTACTCCTAGTCTAAGTTTTGGAGGCAAGCAGTTGATAGTTATATGTACTATTCCACATATTGGCCTGGAAATGCTATATTGCCAACTATACCCTGCCCACCTTTATCTTTACTGCCCAAGTAACTCTTACATTAGAGCCATTCTTTTGTTTATGAAATAAAAAAATAAATTCCTAAGAAAGTATAGGAGCTGCTACCTCATTGGTTGTAGGACATAGTTCAGGTTTTATTAAGAAAATATTAAAAATTTTAAAAATAGGGGCTTGGGGTGTACCTTAGCTGTGGAGTGTGCACCTCTCATGCTTGAGACCCTGGGTTCAATCTCTAGTACAGCAACAAGAAAAACAATACAAAGGTAATCTTATAATATTGGGATACTTCAGGTAAAAAATCCAAAGTTGTCATTCATTTTTCTTAGGTATTAGAAACTCCAACCAAAACATTATCTATATGTTATTTGGGTTCATTTTCATATTGACATCAAGAAATCCAGGATTTAATTATATAAAAGTTAATTAGTATGGCCTACTGCCATTGTATTTGAGCCACTGTTATTGGCATTAAACACTTGAAATGTGCAATATTGTATTGATTAAGCCTTGGTATTGACCATGTCTGCATTTAGAATTTCTTATTAGCTGCTGTTGTTGTCTGGAAGGAATGGCAGCTACATCTTTTTCTGGAGGTCTTTATTCCTTATGGGCCAGCAATGCTCTGGTCGAGAATATCTTCATTCACAGCCTTAGAAGTATTAGTTGTGATATTTTTAATTATCCAGATACAAGAAATGGCTCCAAACCTATTCAAGAAACCATACCTAAGATAAATTTTTATTAAACTCCTGCTAAGAATCACTGGCTGATCACTGAGCTGAGAAGCTTTAGCTCAAAAACTCTCCCCTTTTATTAATTACATTTTTTTATTCATTTCACCTAAAGGAATTCTTTGACATGAAAATCTTCAACCCCTGCTTACTACATAGACAGAACAGATAAGAGAACTGTGGGGAATTCAAGGTGACTGGTGAGGCTGAGACAGAGTTGGAAGCAAAGAATTATGGGCTAGTTGGTGAAAAATAAGCTTGCCATAAACATGTACACACGTTGTGCTTGGTTTTTGGACAAGGTTTATCACACAGTTTGCATTGTTTGAACACATACAGTAGCAGATAACTCTACTGGAGACAACAACTAAATCCTTGCAGGGGTGGGTTTGGATTAGCATTGCATCTTTTTCCCTAGAAACTTTAAAAACTATTGAAAGACCAATTCTTCTTGCGCTAGCACAAGAGACCTATGAAATGCCTGCATTTCAAATGTTCATATCTACATTACTACTTTTAGAACATAGAATAGACACAGTAATTTAAATATAATATATACATAATTTAGATTTTCAGGCTAGCTCCAAATTGTTTTAAGCCCACAAATAGATTGAGTGTTACACTAAGCTGTATCCACAGGTTTCGCATCTGAGGGTTCAACCACAATGTTTATGGGGGGAAGGGCAAATGTGTTTGTAATGAACACATACAGATTTTTTCCTTGTCATTTTTCCTAAGCAATATAGCAACTGTTTACATAGCATCTGTACTGTATTAGGTATTAGTAGTCTAGAGATGATTCAAAATATGCAGGAAGATAGGAATAAGTTGTATGAAAATATTACATAAGGGACTTGAGCATGTGCAGTGTTTGATAACTGTGGAGAGTTGACACCTCCCAGGTACTGAAGGACTGGATGACTACTAATTATATAGCCTCAAGCCATTGGTAAGGGTGGTACCAATGCAAGAGTGGCTTGGTACCAATGGGATGGTACCAAAGATGGGAGAGGGGCTAGGAAGATGAAATTTAGGGACCGAAATGGGAGAAGGGAGGTGATCTCTGGTGGCTGAGTGGGAGTTGTTGGAAACTAACTGCCAGCAGTTTCTGAAGTGAGGTTGGGAGATGATGGCCTCTAGACAAGAAGAGAAAGATCAGCTGAAGCTACACTGGCTATCTGGGGCTTGCCTGTATGCAGTTGAGGAGGCCGTGTTTGACTTATCTCTAGGAAAAAAATGACCAGAGCATATTACACTATAAATCCTTTAAAACTTATGATAAATGCTTTGAAGAATACTGCAGAAATGGACAGTCAGTTACAACCTCTTGGAAATTATTTATCTACCCCCTCAACCAAGTTGCCCACTCATGGACTGGGAGGGCATGGTGAAGAGGCTGTGTGGCACAGGGTGAACCACAGACTTACCCGGCTTAATCATCTGCCATCTCTGTCCACTGTAATCACATGGTTGGAGTCTTTGATTACCTAACAAAGTGCAAGAACTTCAAGCACGTAGTAGGCTCCTCATAAATGCTTGTTGTTAATGAATGGGCTTTAAAGAAAATCTTTCCTAGAGTTAAAATCTATAGCCAGATGCCTTGCAATGTCCATTTTATTGTTTTAATGTAAACGATGATTGAACGTAGCTTTTAAGAGAGTACTTTTGCTTTCCAGCAGAAGACTTAAGAGTAACTTTAGGGCTTCTCTGAGAACAGGAGAGTCATTTAGAAAAGGCTTTCCTCGCTTCTTGGTCTTTTGGCTAAGATCAAGTGAAAAGGCTTTCGGAGAGGTCAAGGCGAAGTCTGTTAATGTAAGTCCATGACCTCACACTCTAGTGCGCAGGAGAAGGCAGGGCTTATGTATTTGACACTTCCAAGTCTTTCTAATGAAGAAAGAAATTATGGTGGCAAGAGACACAGTACTTTCATAAGTGGACTCAAAGTGTCTTAAGCAAACGTCTTTACATTAAAAAAAGGGCACTCCCATTGTCCTGACTTTATGCATTCCTTAAATGTCTATCCTGACATCAGCATTCACGATCTGTGGGTGCAAAACTGAGGTAAATACTAGCAATATTGGTGGAGATTCTTTGAGTTCACTTTTACTTCTTCTGCCTTTATCACTCCAACATAATATGATTGTTACAAACATCATCGAATCAAGCATTAGAGAAAACTATGTGTTTCTTCAGTCATTAGTCCTAAGTCATGCATTCGCCAACAGACAGAGATTGAAAAATGACGATTATAATGTTAACAAGAGCTTCAATTCCAAGGGGAGCTACTTGTGCAGTCTCCAATGTCAAAGAGGTGCGAAAGATTTTTAGTGGCTGATACATTTCTGTCATTTCTTGCCTCATTAGACAGCTTTCTCCATTCCCACCCTTTCAACACTTTGTCAGCAAAGAGACTTTTCGCCTGTTGGTCTTGCACCTTTTCTGGACAGCAGATCATCTCTTGTTAGACAGGAACCAGAGTTGACAGGGAGAGGAAACTTTCTCTTTTAGAATGACTTTCTCTTT